TTTCAAAGCCATTTTAGGTGTATAAACACTTAGAATTGGGACGTCACTGAAAATGGTGTAGGGAACTCCAAGGCTCTGCCTTTCCACAAAAGCAGCTAATGACCTGGTGGTGGAAACCGTCAGAATCTACTTTTGCAGAACTCTAGAAATCTAGTCAAAAACTTCCCACGACCCGGGGAAGAAAGAAGCGGATGCTTTGCGGTGAGTGTGCTAGGACATTTCCAGTTGCCTGCCTACTACACCGCACGTGGGGGGCCGTAAGGAGGACAAGAGCTCACGGTTTTGGTGCATGCTCTTAGCACCAGCGGGAGGAATATAGTCCTTCTCAAAGCTTCGGGACTGTGGGCTTCAACACATCTGGCACTTGCCTGAAAGACCAACCTAAGGGCTGGCCTTTGTTTTGCCAGACTCTGTTCCCAAGGCTGGGTGGCTCTGGCCAAAAGTGTTCCCTGGCCCTGGAATTGGCTGCAGCAACTTGGACAAGGGACGATTGTTGGGACAAGCAACAGACCTGTAAGAAGACTGGAAAGAAAAAGTTGGGAAAGGAGATATTTAGGGAAAGGCCTTTCCGAGCTCCCACAGGCATAATGACAAACTGGGGAAATGTAGCCCATGCCCAGTGCTGATGTACTCCAGGAAAGGCCTGACAAATCACTCAGCTCTCACTCTGGCTCATCTTCAGGCTCCACACAAGCAGAAGTGGAGGCTGAGGGGCGCCTGGGTGCTTCAGTCGGTTGAGCGTCTGTTGATTTGGTTCAGGTCATGAACCCAGGATTGTGGGATGGGGCCCAGTGTTGGGCTCTATGCTGAGAGTGGAGCCTGCTTAGGATTCTCCTTCCCCAAACTCTGCCCCTTTCTTTCACTCTCTCTAAAAAAAAAAAGTAGAGGCTGAAACAGAGTGTGAATAGCCTGGCTGAGCCATGAAGGAATGGTCCACAAAGCAGAGCCAATTGATAAAGAGGGTATTTTTTCCTCTTTTTTTTTTTTTCTTTTAAATTAAGTTTATTTCTAGTAATCTCTACACCCAACAAGGGGCTCGAACTCAGGACTCCAAGATCAAGTGTTGCATATGCCAACTGAGCCAGGTGCCCCTTATTTTTCTTTTAATAAGTGAGTTTAGCAAGGTTTCAGAATATAAGATCAATATACAGAAATCAACTGTGTTCCTACAGGCAGGCAATAACCAGAAATTGTAAGTTAAAAATCTCACAGTGGCATCAAGAAATATGAACTACTTAGGGATAAATCTGACAAAGATGTGAAAGATCTGGATATATGACCTATAAAATACTGCTGAGAGAAGAGCTAAATAAATGGGTAGGTCACGTCTCCCTAAATTGATCAATAGATTCAATAACGCTAGATTCTTTTGTAGAAACTGACAAGCTAATGCTGAAATTCATCTGAAAAAGCAAAGGACCTGGAGCAGCCAAAGTAACTTTTACAGGTATAAAATTGGAAAGCTAACACTATCTAATTTCAAGAATTAGTATAAATCTACAGTAATCGAGACCATGTCGTATGGCCATTAAGACAAATGGATCAATGGAACAGAAACTCAAGGCAACTGATTTTTGACAAAGGTACAAAAGCAATACGGTGGAGAAAGGGACAGCCTTTTCAACTAATGTTGCTCGAAACTGGATCTCTATATGCGAAGAAAAGGAACTGAAAGTCCTAGCTGGAGCCATATACATGGGTACACACAGAGCCAAAATGGATCACAGACATAAACACAAAACCTGAGATTTTAAACTTCTAGAAAACCTTTACCTCTTGGGTTAGGTAATGGTTTCTTAGAACAACAAAAACACAATCCAAAGAAAAACGGAATTCATCAAACTTAAACCTCTGCTCTTCAAAGACACTGTTAAAAGACTAGAAAGAGAAGCCACAGACTGAGAGAGAATCTTTGCAAAACGGGACCAACAGACTTGTATCCAAAGCATACACGCATGCCTCATTTTATCACACTTCGCAGATACTGTGTTTGTTACAGCTTGAAGGTTTGTGGCAACCTGCATCCATCAAGTCTCTCAGCGCCATTTTTCCAACACAGTTTGCTCACTTCTGGTCTCTGTGTCCTATTTTGGTAATTCCCTCAATATTTCATACTTGGTGATCTGTGATGAGTGATTATGACTTACAGCTCATGATGGCTATTAGCTATTTTAGCAATAAAGTATTTTTTAATTAAGGTAAGTACTTTTTTTTTTCCTTAGAACTAATGCTATTGCACACTTAAGGTTTCACTATCCTGTAGTAGTTTTTTAACTTCTGCATGCTCTGGGAAACGAAAAAAATTCATTTGACTTGGTTTATTGTGGTGGTCTAGAACCAAACCTGCATTATCTGAGGCATGCTTGGATAGAGAACTCTCAAAACTCAACCCAGTTTTTAAAATGGGCAAAAACCGCGAATAGGTACTTGCCCAAACAAGGTAAGGATGACGAAATAAGCACGTGAAAAGATGCTTGACATCATTAGGGTAGAGCAAATTAAAACTACAATGAGATATTGCCTCCTATCTCCTAAAATGGCTAAAATTATAAAAACAATACCAAGTAGTAGAGAAGAGGTAGAGGAACTGAAACCTTCATCTGTTACTGGTGAGAACATAGAATAGTTCAACCACTTTGGAAGACAAACGTAGAGCTACCATTCATCTGACCTAGCTGTTCCACTCCTTGGTATTTACCCCCCAAAAAGTACAGCTCCATACAAAGACTTGTACGTGAACGTTCACAGCAGCTTTATTTTTAATAGCCCTAAACTGGAAACAAGCCAAATGTGAATAAACATAAAAAGTGAATAAACTGTGGTCTCCCCATACCACGGAATAGGACTCAACCATAAAAAGGAAAGAAATATGGACACAACAATATGGATGAAATTCAAAATCAAAGTCAAAAGAGCCAGCCCCATGCATAGGGGCACTTGTACCCCAATGTTTATAGCAGCACTCTCAACAATAGCCAAATTATGGAAAGAGCCTAAATGTCCATCAACTGATGAATGGATAAAGAAATTGTGGCTTCCTCTATAATACATAGAGTACTCACGTGGGCAATGAGAAAGAATGAAATATGGCCCTTTGTAGCAACACGGATGGAACTGCAGAGTGTGATGCTAAGTGAAATAAGCCATACGGAGAAAGACAGATACCATATGGTTTCACTCTTATGTGGATCCTGAGAAACTTAACAGAAACCCAAGGGGGAGGGGAAGGGGAAAAAAAAAAGAGGTTAGAGTGGGAGAGAGCCAAAGCATAAGAGACTGTTAAAAACTGAGAACAAAAGTGAGGGTTGATGGGGTGGAGGTGGTTGGGGTGATGGGTATTGAGGAGTGCACCTTTTGGGATGAGCACTGGGTGTTGTATGGAAACCAATTTGACAATAAACTTCATATATTGAAAAAAAAAAACCCCCAAAAAGAATATATACTGCAGGATTCTACTTAGCTAAACTCAGAAAATGCAAACTCCTCCACAGTGACACAAAGCAGATAAATGGTTGGTAGGGGTGGGGAGGGGAAAACTGTTAAGGGGCAGGAGGAAATTTTGGGGGTAATGGTTATGTTCAGAAACTGGATTGTGGTGATGGTTTCACAAGTGTGTGAAACTGTGTCAAAATTTATCCAAGTGTACACTGTAAATGGGCATTTATTTTCTAATAAAAATAAAGGCTGTTAAAAAACCAAAAGCCAGGCCTATAAAAGATGTCCTGTTAGGGACAGAGAGCAGTGCAAATGGAAATTTACATATCAGGAATTGGACTTTTTCTCAAGAAATATTTAGAAATAAATGCACAGAACATAAAACCATACTCCCAACAAAAAAATCTTATATTTTCTTTTTAGTCTTTTCTGTTTTCCACAGACCAAAGCAACCAAAAAGTGATTTGGCCGGGGAGAAAAAAAAACAATATATCTTTTTGAAAGGTAAGTATACACATTTTAATTTATTTTTAAGAATATATTTATATTTTAAAAACAGGACATGTATACGTCTAAGCAGCATGGCGGACACAGACCAAATCCATGCTGGTGAGTTTTGAGAACCATTGAACGTGCTGACAGAGGCAGACAAGGTAAGAATAAATAGTGCTTTGGGGAGAGCAGTAGTGATCAGTAGGGTAGGTAAAGACGTGGACGCTGGAGCAGAAACAACTCCCCAATACTGATTTGTGCCAAGTTCCAGATCTCCACAACAGAAATGGCCCAACCCATCCAAACAGCCTCCCAACTCGGCAACTGCCGGGGTAGATGAACTCGGACCTAGCGGGCAGAGGGATGGGGGGACTCAACCCAGAGGAAAACTGCAGAAACAGAGGTCAGACAGGCATGTGTTCACACACACGTCCCCACAAAGGGCATTGCACAATAACAGAACTGTACACAGTTTAACAAAGGAGCTCCCAGCCTCCCTGTCACCTCTTTGGCAGTAGGTCAGGCCATCTCCACTTCTGACACACACACATCCTCAGCAGGAGGAAGGCTGTCCTGTGTGGCGGAGACAGATCTTTAGGTGAGAGCAAGGCTACTGTAGCCAGAGCGTTAACTCAGCGTCCCTCAACAAAGAAGATGTTAATTACTAGTGACAGCCTACGAGCCAATATTGCTTCAGGTCCCTACCCCAAGGACCGGCACACTCCTTTTCCCACACCGTGGTGAAATACGACACGCCCTTGCTCGTGCTTCAGCAAGCAGAATTACGGGGTAGAGAAAAATTAGGTTCCGTATGCTAAAATTTGCACTTACTGCTATGAACTAAGTTTTAATGTATTTCTTGGGTCAAAACAAAATCAAGTCTTTGAAGACCCACTAAGCCTATGATGGACTTTGCTCTGTGACACTCATTCACTTCTGTAAGTTAGGCCCGTGGTAGTGGAACCTGTCCAGATTCTCAAGCACACCTAAACTCAAGAAAAATGAAAGCCACATAGATAATTAGATCTAGTCTAGGCACAGGAAGCCACAGCTGGCTGACCGCTCAGGGGCTCTCAGGACTGGATGTTGGTCGAATTGAGGATTCGAGAAGTAGCATCAGATTTGGAAGCCTTTGAAAGTTCTCGCTGTTGAAAAATAAATAATGTAAGTGGCAGTACTGTCCCTCCTCTGCATGCCCCGCCCTTGTAAGCATGGGTAAATGTCAGCACAAGGTCCCCTGAGGGCTGTTTCTCTGAGACAGAGGTCCCTCTCCAGCACAGGTTGTTAGGAACACAAGATGAGAGGCTCTGAGCCCCGTTCTATTAGTCAGAGATTAAGCGTGTGCACACGTATGCCCGGGACCTCGTCCTTAGCCAGTTCGTTCTGTTACCACCTCACAGAATAGCAGTCCCTCAAGTTTCACAAAGTACTCTATTGAGTTGTCAAGCTAGGCAGGCAACAACCTTTGGTCTTTTGAGCCCTGAATAAAGCAAGGGGCCAGACCTTTATCTACCAATCCCTGGGGCTGAGGGCCTTGTAACCTGCTGGTGATATGATCTCATGCTGGAGCACATGGAAAAGAAGATAAAGCACGAATACCACTGAGCAAGAGGTTAGTAAAGGTTAGTCTACCGGCTTTGGTGCCGCCTGGTGGAGTCTGTTACCAGCCAAAGCAGCCAAAACCAGATTAGAGATAAGCAGGGTACATTTAAGCCCCACGGGCACGATACGGGGCTTGGCTAAACAAGCAAGGAAGAGAAAGTTGGACCCTCTGTCCAGCAATCAGCTAGCCAGAGCAACGTACACTTCTATATATAAAACCATACCAATCATTTAATTTGAAACAAGGGCCATAATATGAAACTGTTTCAATGCTCAAAACAAGCTCTTGCCTTGGGCAACTGCCCCGTTCTGTCACTGCAGCCGTAAGAGCGGGCACCATGGCTTTAATGCCGTATCCCCTCACCCACGGTGAGGAATAGCCTCGCTTCCCAGCAGGAAGATACGGAGGGCAGAGAGAACGCACACTGGTAAGTAAAGGGCACTGCAGTTAAGTGTTAGTGAACACGGAGTAGGTTACTAGGAACTAAAGAGCATCTGGAAAAATCTCCCAATGCCACATATATGCTTTAGCAGCTTAATGAGGTAGAAACAGGCAGAGGCAAGGAAATGAACACTGGCTAGCTCACAGAAGACAGAAAGTTGGCAATTCAGCCCTAAGGGGTTAGTAAGTCATATACTCCAGGAAACAATCAGCACACAGGCCAAGAACCTCATGATGGGCAGCACACAGCTGGGGCTCCCCTCCCCACGTGATGGGGCCTCTATTCTTTCCAGCACATTGGAGGCCTCTGATGTCACAACTGGGGAGGGTGAAGGTCTTCTGTTGTGAAAGACAGGATTAAAAAAAAAAAAAACTTTGCCTGACTTTAGGTAGGGCTGAGAATCCAATTCAAGTCTGAACAAGTTTTCTTGTTAATCAGCAGATTAGTCTCTTGGGACTGAAGTCAGATATCCTTGAGGTCCGCATTAGGACTTCTGCTCCTTTGTCAAAAAAAGGTTCTGTGGTAGTACAGCTGAGATTATTGGTTAGTGTAGCCCCGTGCCCAGACGGGAATTAAGCCAGCAGATGTGACAGGTGAGTATGGAAAGCGGACATGGGACATGCAGGGGTTGCCATACAGACCTGAAGCCCGACAGTGGAGCTGTCAGAGAGGGACGGATCCTTCTAAGAACAAAGAATTAAGACAATTACCAAGAACTCCACCAAGAGAGCACCAGGGCCGTGATCAGAGGGTCACCTCCTGCAGCCAGGGAATGGTATTTCTGAAGCAGAAGGATCCAGGCTAAACGTCTAGTTGCTGCTGCCAACTTCCTTCTTGTATGCTCCTTAAACCAGCCCGCCCCATGCCATGGTCAAGGCAGGAAAGGGATTCTCAGCCTCCAAAGAACTGTCCTCACGGCCTGGGTGCCCTTGGGAAGATACCCACTCTGCCCCAACTGTGTGCTCCCCAGAGACTGGCAGATATTAGAAAAGGTGAATTACCGCAAACTCAGAATAGGTGCTGGCAACAGAATTAATGCTGAAGTTGCGCTGGAGGGGGGCCGAGGCAGGGTACCCACCACTCAGGATGCTGCCGTTGAGCTCCAGGTTCTCCTTGTTGGTTCCATGCCTGCCAGCACGGGGCGTTTTTTTCCCCGAACAAGTGGAAGTGACGACCGGCTGCAGAGAAGGGAAAGAGAGAGATCCGCGCACCATCCTCATAGTGACCACACACACACACACGCGCAAATGGCTAAAGGCTGATCCCGTCTTTGTTATTCATGGGCCTATAATCCTCTACTTGTGGTTTCAAAAAATACATGAATTCTTAATGACTTGCAAAATACCTATCTTGAGCATAGTCTGTAGAATACTTGGAAGACACACTTAGCACAGATTCCCCACCTCTCCTGATGTGAGAGTACTCGATTCTGTCTAGTGATCCAGTGTCACTGGGCTTGAACCCCCACACAGGGACCTCACTCAGCAGCAGCTGAAGACCAGGCTTTGCACTGAACCTAGTTACATCCCGGTGATTCCCATGATACTACCGGGGTTCAGAATGACCGCTGGGTGTATTTTGTTGTTGTTGGTTTCTTTTTTTGGCAGATAAGCTGGCTTACTCACAGCATCTCACTGAAAACCGAATCCAGGGTTCTCAGAAACTCAAACGACTAGGTGGGGCCCCTGGGTAAATGGGCTGGAGGTGTGCTGGGGATGTCCCTTGTACATGGAGCATACATACTAACCTTGCTGCCAGAAGGTGGAAGTCGAGACACAGGGGAGCGGTAGATGGTCCCCCCAAAGACAGGCCGAATGCTGCTGTTGGCCGTAGCGTTGGACATGGTGGTAGTGTTCAGCTAAGGGGAAGAACAGAGATTATGGAGGTGGGGTAACATGTCTGGCAGCCCATCCCTACACTATAGAGAAAGGAGTATGGGAAATAGTCTAAGAAAGATGGGTTTACATGGTTAAGAGCTTTGAGGAAAATTGTGACAAGTGTTGAAAGTATTTCTATCCGGATTGCACTATAAAATGGTAGCCATTTTGTTTGTAATTCTATCATATTTAGGTATTTACCCGAGAGAAATGAAAGCAGATATCCCTACCAAGACCTATACATATATAGAGAGCAGCTTTATCTGTAATAGCCAAAACACTGCCTACAAGCCAAGTGTCCATCCACAGGCAAACGGCTAAGCAAATTGTGCAATGGAATACTGCTCGGTAGTAAAAAGGAGTGGCCTATTTTTAACAACATAGATGAATCTCAAAAAACCTATGCTAAACGAGAGAAGCCAAACCAAAAGAAGAATACATACTGTATAATTGTATTTGTATAAAATGTTAAGAGGGGCGCCTGGGTGGCTCATTTGGTTAAGCGTCCGACTTTAGCTCAGGTCATGATCCCACAGTTTGTGAATTTAAGCCTGGCATCGGGCTCTGTGCTGATGACTCAGAGCCTGGAACCTGCTTCAGATTCTGTGTCTCATTCTCTCTCTGCCCCTCTCCCACTTGTAATGTGTCTCTCTTTGTCTCTCAAAAATAAATAAATGTAAAGAAAAAAATTTTTAAACGTTAGAAATGCAAACTGGGGGCGCCTGGGTGGCTCAGTTGGTTGAACATCTGACTCTTGATTTCAGCTCAGGTCATGATCTCATAGTTTGTGGGTTCGAGCCCCATGTCCAGCTCTGCACTGACAGTGTGGAGCCTGCTTGGAATTCTCTCTCCCTCTCTCTCTGCCCCTACTTGTGCTTTCTCTCTTAAAAAAATTTTTTTTTAAAATAAAGTGAACAAACAAAACCATAAAACACTTTTCGTTCATCAACAAAACACCATAAAGAGTAAAAACACAAACTACACAAGACACAAATGCTGCCGGTAGACATGGCAAAGGTTCAATTTCCATTAGTTAAGAAGGGAGATACAAACTAAAATCATGAGACAGAACTTCATACCCTCAGATGGACAAAGTATGAAAGTATTACCTGTTAACAAGGATCAGAGTTTGACACTTAGGCACTGGCAGCACAGATCATTAATCAGTGCAACTAGGGCTTCAGAAATGTCTGATTAGAGGAAACTTTCAGATTTTATTTTTAAGCAATCTTTATACCCAGTATGGGCCTGAAACTCACAACCTGGAGATCCAGAGCTGCTCTACCAGCCGGGCGCCCCTGACTTCACTCTCGAGAGCAAGGGCCTCTCGCTTCTCTTTTATGCTCAGCATGTAGCACAGAGGTCTGCAAACTTTTAATTAAAACAGATCTTTCTATAATTGATTTTTAGTGTTCTAGGTTTTTAAAAGCTTATCACATTTTTTTTAAGTTTATTTTGAGAGAGAGCGCTCTTGTGCACATGCATGCCAGGGAGGAGCAGAGAGAGACAATCCTAAGCAGGCTCTGCCCTGTCAGCATGGAGCCCCATGTGGGGCTTAGACTCCTGAGCTATGAGATCATGACCTGAGCCGAAAGTGAGAGTCGAATGCTTAACCAACTGAGCCACCCAGGTGCCCCATCACATGATTTTCATAATAAAAAAACTACCTATTATGGGGTGCCTGACTGGCTTAGTAGAGTGTGTGACTTATCTCAGGGTTATGAATTTGAGCCCCACGTTGGATGTAGAGATTACTTAAATATAAAATCTTTATAATATCTAATATTGGGGCACCTAGGTGGCTCAGTCAGTTAAGCATCCAACTCTTGGTTTCAGCTCAGGTTATGGTCTCATGTTTTTGTGAGTTAGAGCTCATCAGACTTGGGATTTTCTGTCTCCTCTCTCTGCTCCCCCAACCCCGTGTCACTTGCACTGTCTCCGTCTCCCTAAAAACGGAAAGTGGGGCGTCTGGGTGGCTCAGTCGGTCAAGCATTGGAATTTGGCTTGGGTCATGATCTCACGGTTACTGAGTTTGAGCACTGCATCAGGCTCTGTGCTGACAGCTCAGAGCCTGGAGCATATTTTGGATTCTGTGTCTCCTTCTCTCTCTCTGCCCCTCTCCCACTCATGCTGTCTCTTTCTCAAAAATAAACATTAAAAAAATTTTTTTTAATCAAAAATAAAGTAAAATCTATCAACAATAGGGAACTAGTTTAATAAATGATGGTATGTCAAGAGAATAGAATATACAGCTAATAACGAGCATGTATTTGAAGAAAGTTTGATACTATGAAAAAAGAACCACAACCAATACCAACTAGGGGAAAGGCAGAAATCCAAATCATATGTGACCTCTATTTTGTAAAAATACATTATTTAAAAATGAGGAAAAACAGGGGCACCTGGGTGGCTCAGTTAAGTGTCTGACTTCAGCTCAGGTCATGATCTCATGGTATGTGAGTCGGGCTCTGATCTTACCGCTCAGAGCTTGGAGCCTGCTTCAGATTCTGTGTCTCCCTCTCTCTCTGCCCCTCCCCTGCTCGTGCTCTCTCTTAAAAATAAGTAAACATTTTAAAAAATTAAAAAGCAGAAAAAACAAATACTCTCAATAGTTCTCTTGGAGTTACACTACAGGTGATTTTTTTTTTTTTTTTTTTTAAACTCCCTGCAACGCAGGGTTCCATTCACAGCCCTGAGATCAAGAGTTGCACATTCTAACTGAGCCAGCCAGGTGCCCCTGCAGGTGCTTTTTAAAAGATCTATTGGTTATAAATATGAGCTGAGGAAAGAGAAAGGAAATACTGCTCTATTTCATTTATCAAAGGAAAAGTTAAACTATCCCATTTACTAAACATGAAAGGCTCTCACAGAATATCATTGTCACTTGTTGGAATTCTAGGATGAACCTCTGAAGGTCTTCATCATTACGGAATGGTGACAGTTATGGTCTCCCAAGATTAATCCAAGACCTCAACCACAGGCACACATCGAAGCCAGGTCCTTGACTGTCATTATCAAGTTATTACTTGGGATTAAGTACTGCCTTCTGGTCACACTTTCAGATGGACTCAACCTGGAAGGTCCCCAAAGCCCTTTCCCATCTACAGGGCAGAAGGCGAAAGGTGGCCAAGAGCCCCAGCCTCAACAACCCCTCACAAACGGTGGTTCACAAAGCCTCACGTTCACCTTGCGCACTTTGCCCGGTGTGTTGGGTACCAGTCCTCGCCGCTTGCTGGGGGTTCGGGGAGCACTGCCATAGAGCATCTCTGTCTCTGTCTGCTTCTTATTCTTTAGTTGCTGTATGAAAGTTGGAAGGAACAGTGAAAACGCCCAGGAAAGGAACAGGTCTGGGATGGGGCAGAAGCTGGGCCAGATATCTAGAGCCAAGTGCCTGAACCCAGAGCTCAAAGAGGTGCGGTGGGCTAGCCCTTCAGCCAACCCAGATCCCTGGAAGAGACCCTGGGCTACTCACATTACCATCGTCCTCTTGCCCACACTGTGCTCACTTACTCTCTCTTGCTTGGCTCGCTCCTTCTCCATTCGATGCATCTCCCATTGTTCTGTCACATACTCCATGAATTTCTGCCCATTCACCACAAATGCCTGCGAATGCTCCTGTTCCCACATTTCAATCCGTGCCTTCAGCTCCTCTTCCAGCTGAGACCATAAAGAAAGAAATGTTAATCACTTCAAATCCTTGGTATGAAGCCCGAATGAAAGTATTCTCCCAAAGGAAGACTCCTGCCCCAGAGCACGTAAGCCTAATTTCAGGTAGCTGGACTCACGTGGGCCCAGGTCAGAGTGACCAGGAAGCAAATCCTAGGGACGATTTATTCGTAACACACATGAAGGTGGGAAACTGCAAGAACCCAGAGTCTAACTGGGTTTTGGTGCTTAAAGCTGGAGGCACTGGGGGGACGAGCAACATTAAATGAACAAGGTACATTATGGGGCGCCTGGGTGGCTCAGTCGGTTGAGCATCCCACTTAGGCTCAGGTCATGATCTCGCAGTTCATGAGTTCAAGCCCCGCGTCCGGCTCTGTGCTGACAGCTCGGAGCCTAGAGCCTGCTTCAGATTCTGTCGCTCTTCCTCTCTCTGCCCCTTCCCTGCTCGTGCTCTGTCTCTCTCTCTCA